CCGGCGGTGCGCTCGACAACGATATACCAGATGATGTAGGAGAAAATAACCGCAACGCAGGTTCCGCCGACTCGACATACGAAGCCAAAAATGGACTGGCCGGCCGTGATAGTCATGCCAATGGCAATCATGATCATGGCCCAAACCAAGCGTTGCTCAGTGAAGAACGTCTGTGTGCTCTGCAAGAAAGCCATGATGCCGACTGTCATGGTCGCAATGGCGACCCGGAAGCCAAAGAGCGATTCACCTGATCCGACAAAGCCAGAAAATGCTCTCACCGAGTTCCCAAAGTGTTGCCAGACGCCGTGAGCAGGGAGATGTTCGGGATCCTTCTTCTTGTTATACCCATCACCGGCGTAGACGATGTTCGCGCCCATCTCAGCAATATCTGGCGTCTGCTCGGGGGAAGCGTCCTCGGTGCTGCAGATACCCTTGAACCATTTCTTGATGCGCTTCTGAGAAGGGATGATCAAGCGCTTCTTTGCCATCGTGCCGTCAGCCACCTTTGAGTCTGCGAACATGACCAGGTCCTGCACTGCTTCGCCCAGGGCGAGCATAAGCTTTTCCATGTACAGCATCACATAAAGCTGCGTCTGGTCGCGCTCCCGCATCCTGGTCTCGAGCTTCTTCAGGTGAAGATCCTGTCGTTCCTGTTCTGTCGCGAGCTGCCTCTCCTTCAACCAGTTTCTGAGCAGCTCTCCCTTCTTGTCGTTGAAGTCCTGCACCCTCTCGGCAAGGACTTCAGCGAACCCGGCTTCGCCTGGCTTCGAGGTCGCCTTGGCACCGGCATCCATCTCCACGTCGGCACCCTTCGTCTTCTTCGGCTTGGGTGTGAGTTCGAGGACGATACCGACGTGATCGAGTCCCTGGTCCATTGCTTCCGTCAGGATTTCGAATGGCTCCAGCAATTGGAGCATGATATCGTTCCAGACTCTCTTTTCCCGTTCCTTCTCCGCGTCCGAGTCGCCGTTGCCATCGTCAACACCCCATCCGTGCTTTTCGGAGGCTCGGCGGAAGATGTCGACAATTGTGCTGATGCCGTTCAATGGGATCATGATGCTTCGCAGGCGGTTGAAGATCTCGCCGATATCCTTGGAGTTGAGCTTGCCGTAGGCGATATCCCTCTTGGCGAAGAGGATGTCTCCGTGCATCTTTCCAAACAGTGCCGAAATCGCCAAAGCCGTGGCCTTGAGCTCGCCCGCGGCCTTCGCCTCCTTCGTCATCTCGGGCTTCTTCTGTTTCTTGTTCTTCTTGAAGACGTTGCTGCTCTTCGTCTGGTGACGCTCGAGCATGTCGGGACTGGATAACGTCTTCAAGTAGTTGAGTTGCAGAGCAATAGACTTGCGAACAAGCCCAATGGCACCCTTGAATTCACCGCTCACCACCTTCCTGCTGGAGACGGGGAACACGAAAAGTGAGACACCGGTAGCAATACCCATGGCGCAAAGCATCGCCACGGTCAGCCGCTTTACAAGCGACTCGGCGGCTGCGGTGGTCACCATGAGCGGGCCAAATGTGCAGGCAACGTTCATAAAGATGGAGTAGATCATGACAGGCAGGTTCATCGCAGGGTATTTAGCTCTCAGGGTATTCGAGATCCAAATATTGAAGAACAGCCAGACGCCGCAGACGGCAGACTGACTTGAGTTGTAGACGGGCAATCCGGTGGCTAGTTCCTCGGCGGAGGCCGTGTTCCTTCGCGCCTGGACACCAGACCACAGTGCCAGCATCGACAAGGCGCCACCGATGCAAATTCCGGTGACATTGAGGACGAGGTTCTGGAGGTATTTTCCTCTTGGGAGAATTGCGAGTGCGAGTACTGAGATAATTGGCACGAGATAGCCCAGCGTGGTGAAGTACTGTGCCACGGGCGTGGATTGGTAGATGGCGATGCCGATCAGGGGCGGTAGTGAGCCCTTGAACATCATGATGAGCGTCGGCGCGTCGAGGCCCAATCTCGCCGCCAGACCCGGCTTTGGCGCCGGCTTCTTTGTCGCCTTACTTGCGGTCGTCGGTGACCGCGCCGGGACGCCATCCGGATGAGTCTCAGTCTCTGGGGACTGCGACTCGGTGTATCGGTCAGCGTCCGGCTTCTGTTCGTCGGATGCCATGGTTCCAGTCGTTCTTTGCGTTTACGTTCACGGAATCATCGGCCCCTTGAGCGAACGAGCGGGCAGCTGTTGAATATTCGATTATGTCGTCGTGCCCGTAGATCAGTCAAACATAATGGTCTCTTGATGTCTTGTCTCTGAATGCTGCGATGATTTTGGGTTGAGTTTTCGCCCGGGCCGAGGGTGGGCGGTTTGTTTTGTCTCATTGGAGAATGATGTAATTGCGGAGTTCGCCGCGCCTATCTAGCCTTCTATCTACGCGCAGTACAGAACTCATAGTGTGCACGAATCCAGCACTGCAGGCAAGAGAGTGCCGACAGAGTTTGCGCTAATGCCGTGTTTTGTGGACTTTGTACTCGTTTTCGGTCAAGAGGGGGAGGGAAGATTACGGCGTAATAAGACCCAAAATAGCTGGTGGCCTCTAAGAAGCCTCTACTCAAGGTGAGACGAGTCAGGATTCATGCACAAGCACGGGCCTTCATCTCAACGGTAGGACGGGGTCAGCCTGTGAGATGAAGTGAGATTAGATGAGATTAGTAGATCGTTTAGTCTAGACTCATGTCTTTCGAGTTGTGGAAATGCAGAATCTGCATTCATGATTTTTGCAGAGAGAATCACGATCGTGACCCTCATGAGCATTGGCATGGGGATGTGAATTATACATCTTACTCACGAATTGACATGGGATGAGTAAGCCATACTGACACCTCATCTACCTTAGCGGCCAGAGATGAGCGTTGCTAGTGTGACACCAGCATCCGACCCGCGCTGCGATTGAGAAAGGGAGGGCGAAGTTGCAGTAGACAGCCTCAGGCAGAGTCGAATGGACAGGTGGTTCAACCCACTGAATCCAGCTCCAAGTCGACTAGGTATGCGCGTCTATCGCAAGCAAGGGCTTAACTGGCGGGCTCATCCTCAGCGCAGCGAAAGCTCAATGAGTCCTTACAAGTTCAATTAATGGCATTGAAAGAACTCCCAGAGAACCATGGTACAGCAGTATTACTCTTTCCAATATTCACAATAACGCTGAATTTCCGTAGACCCCTATCGGAGGAAATGAATGAAAAGAGTTCATTCGCATGTATCACCCCTGCATCTCAGCCCTAGAGGGCTTGAGAACCCCGCCACGTCGACTTCCCAACCACAAGCCGGCCGGCGTGTCCGGCAAAGCATAGTGGCAGAATTTTAGCCAGTTCCGAGATCGTCCGCGGAATATTGAGACTGCTCCCCGGAGAGCAGCTCCATAGTCTCGCCGAAAACTCCGTCGGCCATCGAAATAATGAATGCCAGCCGTCTTGGATGAGTGCCGTGAGGCGGCTTAGGACTGAGGATCCTATGCGACTGCTGATGAATGAGTCAGCCACGCTTCATGTAGCTTGGTGTCGGCTGGACAACACCACCATTTTCCCCGCACCCCGGATTCACTCCGGCAAGACGCCGCGCTGGCGATTAGCACCGGGGCCGTTGAGGCGAATTGAGGTGGGGAAAGTTGAGAGCCGCTTCTCAATGATGGTGCATGTACTCGAGATAACGTGATATGCTCTGGGTGCGCCTAACGAACTGGTGTGTTGCAAAAGATTGAACACGTTCATCTTTCATCCCGTCAATGGCTGAGATTCTCGATAAAGTCTGATTTCGCTGGGGCTGGTGAAGGACCCCTGTTCGGTACAGGGAGCAGCCATCTGAAGGCTACTGACCGAGTAAATCTCACCCGGTTTGTACTGAAGAATGAGTTGGTAGCATGATCTTGTCCACATTGATGAGATAGCATGTCAACTTTCGAGTTGAAGTAGCTCAGACTCATGAAATGGCGTCGTCTTCTATCGACCAGAGCCTAGAACATGTTTGTATTCGTCTTCCTACCCTCCTTCCAAGTGACTTATTTGATCCCCTATCATGATCTTTTCAAGAGGTTTCGCTGGCGTCATCACCCAGTTTTGAGGCCGTTTCCTATGCACGAGAAATATCCTGTGCCACTGAAAGCCTGATTATGCGAGCTGGCACAACGAATGGAAGCCCTTAGGTTATCCCGATCTCGTCGTAGATTGCATCTCTTCTGTTCACCCTTCGCGACCCTGCCGAAACGCAGATTCTGTGGGTTTACGAAGTCTACGTCGGTCAAGCAAATCTTCGAATGCGCTGTACGCGTGATATTCTGGCTAGGTCCTTCTGCCGGAGATGAAAGCAGTGAACGCGCACTCACGTTTCTCAGAAGAATGACAATGCATAGAGAATACAATGATCAAGGCGAACACCTCGGTGGTCGAATGATTGGCTCCGACACAAGCTCCGAGTGTGGAGCTGGGAGGCAAGCGGGAATATTAGATGACGATGAGGGGGAGGACGATGAGGGTTACGGGAGCGGGCCTCTTTCTGACCATGATCTTGATATCGTCGATCTCAGCACTTCGTCCACAGCCTTATCTGATACTCGGACCAAATTTCATCAAAGATTTCTGAAAAAGTGTGTTTTATTCGAAGCAGATACCAACACTACTTTGTCTACGGCTACTGCAACCCATACCGAGCTTTAAGAATCAGAAGAGCCTGGGAAAGGACCGTAGCCGCATGGGAACTTGATCGATCGCGAGTTGGCCATATCGCTTTTGGAAGACCAATTCTTTGCGACAACGACATGGAACACATCTCCAGGAACGCTACAAAGCCGGCTGGGAGTCTGCTGAAAGACTCTTTCAGAACCCATGGTGGAGCCAGACGTGGACTGTCCCAAGGGCCTGGTGTGCCAACGATTGAGCAGTCATCCAGTGTAGGCAGCGGATGATCAAGTGAAAGACCTTGAAAAAAGCACTGCCGTTTGCTGAGGCCTGGGACGACTTGGGGAAGACGATGGTTGAGAGAAAGAACGGGCGCATTAGCGACTGGCCAGTAATGAGAGATCGATACTCCACTGCTTTCTACCTCTTGAAGCAGGGACTCATGGACGAAAGACTATCGGATCTCCTGTGGAACATTTGGGCTAGAGACGCGGCCGATTCTCGGGACAGGTTGTTTGCGATGCTCAGTCTCGCCGGTAGATCTCGTGGCTGGTCCCATGGGGACTACCGCAGATCCGTGAAGCAGGTGTTCTGCGGAGCAGTAAGAGAAATTATCCGTGAAGAGAACAGTCTCGAGATACTGTTGGCGGCACGAAGCCTGAATAAAGAAGATGAAGCGATCTCACTGCCGAGTTGGGGTGTTCGAGTGGCGTAGTGAACATAGCCTGCTCAAGGAACGGCCGAAGCCCCTGGTTGACCGATCCCGAATTCATTCTCTCTACGCCATCAGGTCTGTCGAATCTCTCGTTGCCAACGGATATGGCTTTACGGCCTGCTCAAGCGCCATCCCAGTCGCTTGGTTCAGCCATGACCTGGACAGATTAAATGTTCGAGCTGTGTTCATCGATGAAGTGAGAACAGTTGCTTCTCTACGTGGGTTAAGATCAGATATCGGCGTCAAGAACACCATAAATGATGCGTATCTCGTTAGTCAGTCCGCATTCTTTGATGGGATGCCTCATTGGTGGAGCAAGGATGAGAAGGATGGATTGCCTAGCCTGGTCAAGGGAGTCCTGATGGCCGGTTCGCATGGTATGATGGATGAATAAGAGGCCATAGGGGAAACCATGGTATTCCGGCACTTCTTCGTCACAAATAATCAGCGTGGTCTTTATATTGGACCTGAGGGACCAATGCTAAGAGACCGCATTTTCGTTGTTGGGCGCCACGGGAACACGAGCGGGCAACAAAGGATGGGTCGACGCTATATGAGCTGGTAGGAGAGGCTCACGGTGAGTAAAAAGCATTCATTATCTACTAATCGATCTCAGCTGATTCCAGATGAAGTTCACGGCATCATGCAAGGCGAAGCCATTGCAACCAGGAAGGCCAAGATCGGATGGGATAGTTTAGCTTGGTGGCGACCCCCCAGGGAAAACAAGTCTCTTAGGAGGATATGGTCATACAATGAGATTGAGAGACAAACCGGAACCCCTATCAATACTCAGTCTAGCTACTCAGCCAGCAGGATGTTGAGGTATACTCAGCAACACCCAATGCATATGCATACCTTATGTATAGCAGATCGAAGAGAAATCAGATGATGACCAGGCGGCACGCTCAGCTTGGTTTGTGCCGGTGAGGGCAGCGGAGTTCCACGATACAAAGATGCTTGTCAAAACAGAGCTTTGTACTGAAAGCCACGGTCAGGTGTCTCTACATCGAAGAAGTAGATTTACGTATCTGTCAGTACGGGTCGATGTTCGATTCAAGAACGATTACGCCAAGTAGAAAATTGGGAATCTAGAAGAGAGAACCAGTCATCCACCAAGCAAATATTCCTAATTCTCTTGTTGGAGTACCTACTACAGTCTGAGACCGAGAATGTCTTTGGGATGTGTTGTAGGTAAACGGGGGACCACCCTTGGACCAGAACGACGGATGTTGAGGCCTGCGACCACCTTGGTATGGCAAGTTGAACAAGGAGGGCATATACTTCTGAATGAAGTTTGACAAAGGGAGTGCATCTTTGGCATTGATCCAAAACAGGTAGAAACACCGAAAAACTACTCGGTCTGTCAGGAAAGCCTTCCTGCTGGCATCGCCAGTCTGAGAGTGGTGATGCCAGGTAGTTCTCCATCACAGATCAGACAGAATCAAGCAAAGTACCTGGACTCCAAGGTCAGATACCATCAATGATCAATCAAGTGCCTTGGATCTAAGAGTATTTTACGTTCAAAAGATGATGTTTACTAACTCCATCAAGCCGACGGAACTCGAGGACCATGACACTCGTCAAATCCAAAATCAACCACCGTACTCCAGCCTCATGGCCAAATATTGATCGGATTCGTGTCTAAAGTCCCGGTTGCGCGTCTCTGTCACTTGCAGACGCATGCCCTTGGTCCGCAAAGGCATTCTCCCGCAGCTCAGCCCACGAGAAGAGTAAGACAGAGGTCCGCCGCGATCGCATATAGCGGACAGCCGAACTCTGGGAAGTGCCCCAAGCTGATCAACTGAACGCGTCAAAAACGTCATGTACAAAGTAATCTCAAGTGTATCAAAGGTGTCGAAGGATATCGTTCGGGTGGTCGCGTCGAGAGGGCAGTATCTGATCGAATAGTAAACCTGGTGACAAGATATCATCAGCGACACAACACCAATCAGAGCGGGGAGGACTCTAACACAAAATTCCCGCACACAATATCAATAGAGACAAAGTCTGTAGAAGTATTCGGAGGATTGTGAAAAAACCCAAAGTCAGAATAGACCACGCATAGAGACGCGCCTATGTAGTGCCGGCCTGAGTAACATACCTTGATACACATTCATTCGGCGTCCGAATTGATTGACGACCAGTAGAGGAAAGGGATCAGATCTGGTTCCCAGTCATTGCGGAGTTTCGTGACCCTTGAGCTGCGACAGCAACGATGGAGACCACCGAGGTGATACTTCCTGTCAGTGGTATCGGAGCCAAGATTTACCTACCTTGGAAAGATAGTGAGAGAGCTGATGTCTTCGACAAAGGGATTCGTCAACCAAGTTTCCCAGATATCCAATGTTCAGTGTGAATTTCTGACGTCCGAGGATCCTTCATTTGGGCTTCCACCATCCCTAGCCCGAATCTCCCTTTCTCCTATTCTCTTCTCTTAGCTCTATCATTCGTCTTTCCCTTATCTCTTCTCAGTCTAGACACGGCATCGCATTCAGCGCGCCGCATGGAGACGTGGTCTAGGCGCGCGATTCGGTTTCGTCGGTTTCGTTCAAACTCGATAGATTCGGTCTTGGCATCTTTGTCGACAGCCGTTCGGCCGGCTTGTCGCACGATTCGAATAAAGGACTACGAGTCATTAGAATAGTCCCATCGAGGCCTCTCTGACTCCACATGTGTTGATGGGATGGCAGGTGTTGGGTCAAGTTGGATGTTTGTTGTCGCCTCCATCGATCCATGGTGTTGAGACCAAGCATACTTGGGAGTTTTTGATACTGGAAATCGCTACGACAACGAGTTCATGATGGATCAGAAGTAAAAGAGAATGATTGCGAGGAAATAATCCAGTATATGTATTCGATTTTACCCTCTACAATCATCATCCAGTCTATACTACCAACATATTTCGCCCTCCAAACCAAACTTCAGCTCCTTCTCTCGCCCATCCAAACTATCCACGCAGCCGGCGCACCGCTCCCGGCTCTACACCATCCCGCGTTAGCATAACCAACCAAAGCAGTCTCTAAGCTTCCCAGGACCCATGGTAACCAAAGAATCCTAACCAGTCAACCACCCACTCAAAAACTGCAATTTCTCGTCAGAATGATAGCTACAAAACAAATGCTTTACCAAGGCTCGCAACTATGCGGAACAACCAGAGCCTCAGCCTTGACAGAATCGTTAGTGTGGAACTACGGACCAAACCTTCCAAAGAGACCAGATCAGACAAGAGTCCAGACGGGTACGGGGGCCCTCTCTGCCTCCCCTCCTTTCCCTCTTCATCCCCCCTCATTTCCCCCATCATCCAGAGAATCGTCACTCAGATCAGAGGCAGAATAACTGCCTCAGCCTTGGACCTCCTGATCACCAACCACCTCACTTCCCATTTCCTTTTTGCCGCCTCTTCCTCTGAGATCTGTGCTCCGGGTGTTTCATTGACTGACTTCCGCGTCGTCATTTTACCGCCACGTTCCGCGATCTTCTGCAAAGAGAGAGAGAGACTCAAGTTTTGGTCCTACCGCCAAGGTCACAATTAGAGAGGGTAAGTGAATCTCCTATGCCGAACACGCCCCGGGGAGTGTATAGGCACAAGTGATAGTGGAAATCCGTCACTAGTGGCTGGGCCCTAGCCCAGCATGGTCCTTCCTGGGAGACAGTGAGGATCTAGACAGCATTCGAAACTGCCCGCATATCTAGTGAGGTGGCGGATCAACGCGGCCGAGTGGAAGTACGATGGGTTCAAAGCTCAGTCTCAAAACACATCTCGTCCCAACTTATCCATCGGCACATCTTGGCAAGGCGACATAAAATACCACACAGACTTGCGCCAAAATCTGGCCGCGGATGTTCCGATGCAATTGCTAAAGCACGTCACCGTGATCCGTCACATTTCCCGATTGTAAAAGCCGTTAGTAGATAACTGATCGGAGCCGTAGCCCCCCCCCCCCACCCCCCCCCCAACCTGCCCCCAAAATTGGCCCGGGATTTTTCCCAGCAAATTCCAAAACACCTCCCCCCTTTTCCCCCCCTTTTCCCTTTTGAAAAACCCTTTGTAGAAAAACTGTTGGGGGCCGGCCCCCCCCCCCCCCCCCCTTCTCCCCCACGATGGTGGCCAATGGACGATCCGATCGGTGGATGGTTTGTCTCAACGGCTGTTAGACGTTCGATATCAGTCGTGGGCCGATGTCTAGTCCATTGTTCGTGTATGTATGATCGCTGTCGTCTCAACTATGCATTGACGCAGTTAGACTCTGTACAGCCGGAACATCAAACCTGTCATGGTTTCTCTCTGCACAATGTCATTGGCAGAATAATCATGGCTGCATGACACTTTTCAGAAATTTCCAATGACACGAGAAAACCATATTGGACCAGCATCTTGCCTTGGTAGACCTGCAAACCTAGAGTCCAATCTCCACCGGACCCGAAGATGCAGTATTGGCCATGGCTCGATTGTGCTCCATTTATTTGCAGAGGCGGTATCTGTACTTTGTGCCTCTACTCCGTAGCCTCTGGGCTCTGCGTCTGGGGCTCGTGAGATTTTTAGCGTCTTAGTGCTCTCTGTTGGGCAACCCGATTCTAAGCGCGATGTAACGGCGGCTTGATGAACCGCCGTGAAAGTGCAACTGTGACCTCGATTGTGGACTCGACGGATTGCCTCGCCTACTAAGCCGTGCGATAATGCATGTACGCTGTCTGGTCCCACAAGCGGTGATTTGGAGACAGTCCGGTTTGTGCAAATCAGTCTAGAATATGTTTCCAACCGAGTTCAAACGAAACGAAACAACTAAATTTCCCGATCCATCACCGGTATTTGATCCAGAAGAGGGGCAAACACCAAGGTGCTCGAAACCCCGAGTGCGCCTCGGTTGGTGATGAGGAGATCGGTCGTCAGGGAAGAGCACTCAGCACGCATCGGGACTCCAGTCATTCGAGGGTGCGCATGGTGTGCGATGTGGAGAAACGACGAGAACAAACTTCAAGTTAGGACGCCCGAGTCGATCTACCTAATTACCTACCTTAGCTTAAGCCTTGGGATTAGAAACATGTGGGTAGCCTGGGCTGGATACGATGTTATGGATGCTTTGCCCGGCTTTCTGGCTTCGAAGCGAGGAATCTAGACGGGGAGGGGGGTCAAGAAGAGCAGGATATTCGGAGAATCCGTAGATATTGGTTGTGCTTCAACGGTCTCCAAGGGGCTGCGTTGGTAAAGGATATCGTCAAAGATTGGCATGGTAGGGCATTAGTCGACCGGGCCACCTGCTAGCGAGCCGTGTCCCGCCCGATGCCCCGGACCCCATCCAGGTTCAGATATGAAGCGAAGTTCTGGCCGACAACAGTGTCAGTATCGACGTGCGCTTCCGCTGTGGGAAGCTCGGAAGAAGTGCCAGAAAAGCACATGCAATCTGGGCGCGGGATGCCAGAGCCGGCCAGGAGATTGGGGTGGCGGATGGCTGGCACGCTCCTACTTGCAGTGTAATATCGAACATGCAAGCTTGACACCAATTGACTCAGTGGGACCGCGGGTGCGCGCGTTCTCCGTCGGCCGCAGCAGTGGCCGCAGAAGACATGAAAGGCCGCAGCTGGAGAGGAATTGTGTGCGAGAATGCCGTTCCAGGCCACGATAGCCCTGACCGACGGCCGCAGAAGACTGAGCTGACAACGTCTTGATTCTGTTGGTACATGGCATTCACCAACACAGTAGAGAGTTTGATGAATGGCTTGCAGAGGTTCGTTCCTACACAAGAAGATCATCCCGACGACGCCTAAGTTGTGCATGAGATGACCCCTTTGGTCGTCTGCAGTGCTGCACTCCGCATTGCGCCCGTGGTACGGAGTAGAACCAGCCAATCCACAGTTCTGGCGCGCTGTCGGCATTCACCCTCGCAAATGACGCCAGGCGCCCCGGCGGATTGCAAGGCATGGCGAGGCCAAAGCGATCCCATTGTATGCGTAAGCCAGGCTGTCTGCAACTTCTCTCTGCCCCCAGCGTTGACTTCTTTTCTAATCTCAAGATTGAACAGTCACAGGCGCGCCTGTCTTTGCGTGATAATTTGTGCAGTCGCGCTGTGGAAGGAGGGACTCGAAACATTCATCAGGCGAGCTGAAAATAGCCAAAACATGGCGGCAATTCCCAATTGTGCATGAAACATGGGGCTCGCGTTAGAACAAAGGCGACATGGGTTCTCTGGGGTCCTTGTAGCTCGAACGACGTTGTTGCTTGCCTTCGGATATTCGACTATTTGGCGACGATGACCGGCCGATAGTGATGCAGCAGACGGACGAGTTGACTGCCAACTTCGATTGCAACCTGGTTCAGCTTCCCATTGCTGGCTCTTGGCCGTCTTCTGTGCAGACATGTTCCATCATATAATTTCGCAAAGACCCAGTCTTCATTTCCCCATGTTGCCTGCAACGTCGTAGGTGACACACACTTCGCCTTCGAGGGTTGTGTCCGTATCCGTACTTTCACAGGCTAACAGCCATCTCTGTTAGTGTGCAGCGGTCCACTATCCAGCCATTGATCCTCTTTTCCCCCCCAGCCAACCGCCTGTCGGGTTTCTCTCGCGCTCGGAAGATTTGTCGGGAGCCTTGAACCGACATGGGCTCTTTGTGAAGCGCGACGAGCATGGTTGGCCAGACTGACGTGACATTGGGGGTGCGCCACTGACAGACCGGATGACAGGCTCAGGGTTTCTAGTGGGCCGCGTCAAACGTTCCTGACGACCTGGGCTATTGGCCCTTCTTCAACGGAACTTTGCGATTCGTGAAATGGGTCTTCAAAGACCGTCCAAACGAGATTGAGTTTGCAAGGGCGACCTTGTTCTGCGCAACGAACCACAGCCCGCAAGGCGTTGAGTCGACAGACAGCTGCACAATTACTACTACCATTGAGCATCCGCCACTGCGTTGGCGACGATCTTGGGTCACGCAAAGTCGTCCGAATAAGGTTGAGACCTTTAAGAACTCCAAGATTCCGACGAAAGCTAGACTTGACTCGATCGACGTTATAGGTAGTTCTGTTCGTGCCGAGCCGAGGTATTCTCGTCATTGGACTGGTCAGTGACAGTCTTTCAGGTGCCATAAATAGCCGCGCACCATGCGAAAGTTCTTGATGAGTATCTTTCAAAGGGTGCATCAGGTGTGCGAACATAAACAACGGCAGACTCGGATTTGCTGTCTGATCCCAGAGAGAGGTCCAATTGAACAGCCTGTTTTGCATGTCAGCTCCCGAGACCCCGAATGAGCCTTGATTAAACCTCTGAGCAAGCAGAATAATTGCCGTGACACTCGGTCAGATGTGAGAAATTGCCAATCTCTCCATATCCAAACCGGCAATTTGTCCGCAAGCAAGTTGTAGAGTGGTGATGTGCGCAGGTTGAATATCAAGTTGCCCAACACTAGACATAATTGGGTAGGCTCATACTAAGTCTCAAGAGATCTCTGGCTAGGTATCTGGCATCAGAGAAGAGTATACTGCTAAACTGAATTCTTACATTGAAGGACGTTTCGAGATCGATATCTTGAACCGCTTTGCAGGAAAAGATTATCAAGAGATGACACTCGTTAGTGCAGTTCGGCCGAGTACAAGTCTTTCGGGTTGTGGGTGGTGGGTGTGGAATGAAATGAGGTGGTGGGTCACAGAGCCGATCAGCACCGTGCCGCAGGAGACCTTCGCAAGACTCCATGTGACGTGACTGCCATTGAATTCAAGAGCAGACCGTGACCAAGCCCCGAATGGGCCATCATGATCCAACAAGACTGTTGTGTCCCATAAGTGCAAGTGAAAGGCACCAAACCATGTCAAGCTGCCATCCACTTCACTCTGACCCCGAAAAGATGATCGAATCCGGGAGTTGAGTCGAAGATCCGCAACGAGGCACGACTTGAACGGCGGGTTCGCAAGAACGCCAATGTAAACAAAGCTGGGTTCCGAGGAATGTCTCTGGAACTCTACAGCTGATGCGATCCGTCCCGGGGGCTAGCCATTCAGCCACACTTGTTATTTTTCGTCGGTCTGATCGACCTTGACGGGTATCCAATTCCCGTGTCAATGCCGTGCACGGCATGACCCAGCGGAAGCCGTTGGCGGGAACTCTACCGTCAAGCTAGAATAACGGACGTTGGACACATTATTTGTATGCAGCTTCTACACTGTCGAGGCGTGCTGAAGAGGACGCCGCTTGGACAACACGTCAAATTTGGCCCAAGGACAGAATAGACAGGGAGCCAAAGCGGCCACTTGGGTCGCACTTTAATCTGGTGGTGGTGAATACATGAGGATCTCGAGTCGAATTGAGATGGTGCCTGGCCTATTCATGACTTCTGTTCTATCTCGTCTGTTATCGTTCAGGTTGGATTAGAGGATGGTTTCCCTCCTGATTAAGGAATAATCTCTGCGAGCATTCCAGCGTGAAGACATTTCTGGAGAAACTGATCAGCGGAGCGAAACCCGGCTGATAGTTACTCATCTGTAGGCCCCTGATCCCCTGCCTGCCGGACATGGAACCTATTTCGAGGGCTCTTTTCTTGGAAGCCGTAAATCGCTGCAGGGGCGTTTCACGATATTCCAGAAAGATTGCCGACGAAGGTTGTCAAAAAGGCGTTGCATAAGCAGGCGCGAAATGGAAATCTGGGGGATGATGCCATCCCGCCTCTGGCGGAGGAGGTTGTGCAGGGGGCATCGGTATGGAATAGAGTTGTGAGTTCTTCTTCTAGAAGACCCAGGGATAAATGACAGGCCGAGGCGAAACAGTAGTCCAGATGCAAGAGACTCTTAGAATTCGCAGCCTTGTCGTGTGGCCAGTGGCATGCCGGTCGAGACAGTGCAGTGCCTCCTCCTCGGACTTTGGTGCGGCGCGACCTAGTCATTATGGTGCAGAGGGGGAATAGGTGGTGTCGGCGATTGGCAGGGGCAGAGTGGGCAGAATACCAGGAGTAATCTGATATTGCATAGCCTTCCGGCGCTGGTGTTTGCTGAGCTGAGTGCGAGTGATTGCTGACAGACTGGGAAATTCTCCTTCGCGTCCCATGACGCCCCGCCGAAGAGCTTGCTCGCCGGTCAACACACAACGCCAAGAGCAAGGAGGCTGGTCTTAGAGGCAATCGTGTCGTCCATCATTGACTATAGCCGTCGTGGCCCATATGGGGGGGGGGGGGGGGGTGTTCCCGTTTTAGCTGGCAGCGATATTTATCGTGAGGCGGCTTATTGGATCGGATGAGCGTACTCCAGCCCAATGCGAGGCCAGAGTGATGCAGGGCAAGCCGCAAACGCTGCCATGTCGAAAGCCCAGGGAGGGTGATATGTCGTCGGTGATGACAACGGAGGCCTCTCCCAAACAGAACACATCGGACATTGCCGTGGTATGCGAAATAACAGACAGTGACGGAGTCATCTGAAGTGTTTGTGTCTACCCAGCGACCGCTGTGGTGAATGGTGTTGGGCGGGCGTTGACTGACAGGGCGTTGGAGTGGACGAGGGTTTGGAGGTGGACCGGAGCGGAGGACGACGGTTTATTTGTTTCATCAATGTCGAATTGGGTAGGCAGGTCGTAAGAACAGGAGGTGAATGCTGACAGTGACAAATGATCTGGAAAAGGAGAAGCATGTCGAGTATCCATAGAGTCGATTCGGAAGCGAAACAATTGTGCATGTTGAACATGTCCCGCCGTGAATCGGATTGTGGCATTGTAGTCGGCGAATTTCTTCATGCCGGTGTGTGGTGGAGGAGGGTGGGGGATGTGGGATGGGAAGGGACTCAGGGAGAAAGGGACGCCCAGAAGGGAAGGAATGACAACCCAAAGACGGAAGCGAGAGAAAGAGCCAACGAGAACCTTGGGACTGGGACGTATTGCGTCCAGTTTCTCACGTCAGGTACTGAGGTAGCTGCGTTCTCCATACAAGGCAGGTGTCCAAGGTACCTACCTACCTTCCATGCCTTATTTCAATGGAAAGCAGAGGCATCTTTTGAATACCAGCGATGAGTACCTGCCTCTTTTGAACGTTGCGCACGATCAACTCAAAGTGACAAGAAGCAAGAGGGCGATAGTACGTACGGATACGTACTGCAAATACATGGAAGTGGGGATGGGAGGAACGAACGACTTTGCAAAGTCGCAAACAGACAGCGGAGTCATCCACTTCCTCAGCGGGATGGACACAGAGGACCAGAAAGAGTGGAGATATGTCACATTTAATGGGTCCGAAATAAGGTACCTGAGTACTTCGGTACGTATCCTCATGTCAACACCTCATTGTGGTGGAAGGTGCCCTGCACTGAGCCACTGTGCGAGGAAGGAGCCAGCAGGGGAGTACCATCTTTCCTCTATCTTTGCGCACCGTGATTTTCCAGCCCACTTGTAGTGTTTGAACACCGTGTTTTGTTAGAAGTTGATGGTTTTCGCACAGTATGACCAGCCAAGGCAGGAACACTTCGAACCTGGAGTCACGTCGTGAGCGGGCATCGTCCCCATCTGTGCCTTGAATTCACCTCTCCTGCCTTGATCAAGGTAGTGAAAAACATCAATACCAAGAAGAAAGTAAATCTGTCAGGTCGTAGCTAAGATTGTTTGATCCGTTCCTCGTCAGTTGGGCCGCACGATGATGGATACGTAAGGCACCTTGTCACTGTAAGGTATGGTAAGGTAGGGCAAGGTTCTACCAAGCCCAGGCAAGGCTGGGATCATTGACAGCTGTCAAATGAGCCACTCTCCGGAGCTTCAGGACCCTCGACGTGCCGCTTGGATGCTGGTCCTGCCAACATCAGCATTGAAACTGACTATTATTGCGGATATCGCAGTATGCTAAGGTATGAATGCCTACCCGAGTCTCCGAGGTGGCATCAGAGTGTCAAGGACAAAGGGCGTGGAGGACGACAGTACCACAGCCTGAATGTGTATGTGACCATTGAGCACTCAAGTTGGTGTGAGATGGCGCTATCTATCTCAGATATCCGAATCTTTATGGAGCATCAGTCTGTCCTGTCATTCTTGTCAGCTGAGGTTCTCGTCCTGACAAAGAACTTTCAAGCACTCACGGTCCTCGACGAATCCCCCGTTTTCCCCGTGTGGCCCAGTCCGCCCCGTGTGGAGCAGCTCGGAGTTGGCCGAGGCAGGGCGCAATTGAAGATTCGGATCAAGCATGTGCTTCATCAACACGAATAGCTTAGATAGTGCAAAGGAAGGAAAAATAAACACGAGAAGAAAAAAAAAAACGTCAATCTTGTCTTGTCTTGGAAGGACGTTTTACCCGTCAAGCCAACGTTTGTCCAAGCATTGTCTCAGAAGCTTCCATTCATGCCTTGATGCCTGCTACGACTTCTTCTTTTCGCCGCGCACAGACGGCAGGGTGGAGCCGTAGGCTTCCGGTCCGGGCACGGCACCCAAGGCCCCAGGGGCAAGATCAAGAGGAGCAGGGATCAGGGATGTTCGTGTCAAGGATGTTGTCAAGCTGTCTTCTCTGCCCGTCAGGGGACAAGGGGGAAAGTGGAAAGCACGGAGGCAGTGGAAGTGGGAAGTCGGAGAGGAGACACAAAAAGTGAACTGTGAGGAAAGAAGTTTAGGCATGGGAGAGATGAAGATGATGGGCGGTGGGGGTTGACTTGGGGCGAACAAGGGGAGGAGAAAAGGACCCGGTCGTGGATGATGTTCTTCTCTCCGCAGAAATGGCCAAAGCACAGTGACTTGCAGCATCGATGGTCAAGAAATGGCAATGATGTGCCTACGCGTTGCTGCGATATTCATTTATGCCGCGGGAAAATCAAGGTGTTGAGAAAAGGAAGAGAGAGAAAAGACAAGAGATTGTCCCGATTGAATCTCAATCGGCCCATCTCTGGCGTTCACGTAATAGCTGGATGTAAACCCCTAGGGGACCTTATGCCAGGGCTGATTCATCTGAGATACAATCCATGGTGGCACAGTCTGTTTTTTTTTTTGTGGTCGGATCCCGCCGTCTCTTATTCACTGCACTTTGCACTTTGTACAGGGCAGAAAATAACCGGACAGAGCAGGGATCCTCCCATCGAGTGCAAGGCGAAGCCGCGAAGCAACAACGCAGAGACTACGGAGTACGGTAGAGCAGAGACGATTTCCGTATGCAGGCCCTACCACCCGATTGTTCCTTCCCTGCCTTTTTTTGTTGCCTTTTTTTTCCCGACATCCACCCACTCACTGACTTACTCCCATTCACCTACTTCGTGCACAGTAAAGTCAGGGTGAAAAGTCTCGAGTCACTGACCTAATCACTCAGACCACCTCACCTGCACCTCTCGTTGACTTTCATTAGCTAGGATAAGGTACCTATGTACCTGCCTACCTTACCTTACCTAGGTGAGCCAGCCTAAGGTACAGATGCAGCACCTCGCAGCTTGCCCTGTTCAGTCTTGCTCCTACCCTTACCAACGCAGCTGGCGTCACTTCACCCACCTTCACCTGCCTTAGCTCAGCTTAGCTCCAGATCAGGCTACCTTACCTACGTTACCTGAGGCAGAGACAAGACATTCGACGCATGGTGGTGTACCTCAACACGGTCCAACACGTGTGTCGGTACTTTCTCGGGCACATGGAGCACATGAAGCAGAGACACCTTAAGGCAAGGCCAACGTCTGCGCCTCTGTCCAGACTCCACGCAGTAGGTAGGCCTTGAGGTGTGGAGAGAGGCAGAAGAAGGAGGGCAGGTTGCAGGACCATCTTTCCCAATGTGGTCTGTTGCTCTGTTTCCCGTTCCATCCTCGACTGGACTCGAGAAAGGAAGTACCTGCCTTCTTTTTCCCAGCCCAGCCCAGCCCAGCCCTGCCTTACCAAGTTGCGCCTAAGGTACTCCGTACGGACAGTACCATGGTGCGGTACCTGTTTACTTGTGGCGTACATCGAGACATCACAGACGACACCCGCGCCCGTCTCGAGGACGGGCCAAGTATCGCCTACTTCCGCCATCCGTGCTTTCTCGTAAAGACGGAAGTCACTTTAGCCTGACAAGGTACCTTTAACTCAGGTAGTCCACGCATCTCCCGTCTCATTCAGCACTTACCTCCAAGGGATATCCTTCCTGCCTACTTTATTGTGTGCGCAGCAAGCAACCGGCCTTCGCGCCGCGGTCCATCTGAACGCCCCTTCCCTCTCGACCTTACGGTCCTTGCCTCTACTGTGGTAGGTATACGGATACGTACCCAGTGTAATAGGTCGTCTATCCAGATGTGCCTGCCATTCCACAACCTGCACGCTCCATTGCTCCATAGTTCCAATGGGTGTGTGGATGCATCTGGGTATTGCCTGCCAGTGTCTCTTTCCCCATCTTTTTGATATGCATGGGTTATGGCCAATACCGACATGGAACGGTTACAAAGACTGAGCGGAATGGACATGGGGAGTCACGGTAAGGTAGGGTAGGAACGGGAGACCAGGTCCCAGGTGAACAATTCAGCCAGGTGAACGCCTTTCACCTTCTCCCGTCCACCTCCTTCTTCCTCCGTGTCAATCGACAACTCCTTCCCTTGGCTATTTATCCAAGACTCTGCGAGGTAAATTATTCTTGGTTACCTAATATGAGGAAAGGGAAGGTACCAAGTCACTTTGACGTTGACTCTCGCGCCTCGCGCCCTGCAACCTCACTTCCTTCTTTTCCTTTCCACTGGTGAATATCAGATCTGTTCCGTTCACCTCATTTCTCCTCTTCTGCATCTTTCCCCCTCAGAGTTCCCTGGCCTGACACTTCATCGTTTACAAGGCCCTCACTTTGGCCGGCATTAACCTTACATGAGATCCACTTGGACATCCCGACTGATGTGGTGAGGCCCTCTGCGAATGCTCCCGTCAAAAGTTCCCTCCCGACCATCTCCGGGACCCGTGCCGTGTCTGACTTAGTCCATCATCGTCTTTTTCTTCTCGCCGCATGAACGCACAGAGCAAGTCAGGACCCGTCAGAAATTGCTTCTAAATCCGACCGGACCTCTCTTTCATCTGCGCGTTCGTCTCAGGGCCCAGCCACGTTCTTCATCACGTCGTTGTTCATCTTCAAGTCATCAATTGCTCATCAACAACAAGACGGCACCAAGACTCATCTGGGCAGCAAAAACGCATACTCCGTACCCTATGTTCGGATTACTTTCCGCCTTGCATCCACATTTGATACATCGGAGTACCCAAGCTCAACGGCATCACCAAACCCATCTTGAGATTGATTGATCATCCTCCCGTAGCAAGAACGCTCGCAATATCCGTTACTCGGCACGACACGCCCACTGCCAAACGACTTCCGCACGAGGGTCAACTCAGCCGAGTCCAGCCCAAGTCAACTTGGCTTCCCTTGACCGCCCCCAAACCGCCGCTTGACAGGTCGCTTCTTGCCGAAGGTTGTCGACTGACCAGACCCGGGACGGCCAGGGACGCCTCCGCCAAGAGACTCGAACCTCGCGGCACAGACCAGAGCGACACAGGGATTCTTCATCGGTCTCTCCTCAATCTTTCTGTCCCCATCGGAAGGCAACCAAGGCCTGGGCCTAATCTATGTCACCCCAAGAGTCCCGTCCAGCATCTGGCATCCAGTTCTTCTAAGCATCCTGATAAGTGTAGGAAGTACCTGCTCTAGCAATCCACAGTCGACCAAGACAACAGAGCCGGACGCCCACTTACTATTTGGCCCTATCTTCCGAGCTACGCCCTTGCCCGCCCTTTTTGAAGTTTGAAGGCGAACGCCGTTGCATTCAGATCGAACTGTTCGTTCCTGGGTTAGAACGTCCGGCACCTAGACATGGGCTTGGGGTGTCTCTGTGTATCGTCATCGTCTCCAAATCGCGGTTGAAATCCCCGATAATCTGAGAGCCCCTCTCAAAGAGAAGGAAAAGGGGATTCATTGGTACGACACACCGTGCATCCTACTTGGGTATCCCACCTTAAGCTGCCACACCCCCCTTCCATCTTCCACTCCCACTCCCACTCCCACTTCCAATGCTCCTTCATTCTGCTGTGTCCGTCCAGACAGTCCTGCCAGAGAAGAAACAGGCAAGCATTGGCCAAGTGAACCAGCTCTTGGGACAGGGTTCATGGCGAGGCAGGTTGGGGAGACGGAGACGTGTTATTCCTCGGCACACCCCCCGCCATCCCCAAGCTTCTTTTTGGCTCAGTGCTCACAGCTTGGCTGACCGTTTTCTTTTCACAGTATTCCCAGTCCTAATCCCATACACCCAGTTCCAGTACTCGACGTTGGACGCCTCCTCCCCATCCCCAAACGTCTCCATCTTGTACACGCCCCTTCATGCGACCCCTGAGGTACGGTACCCTCTCCTACTCCACCCGTCTTTCCCTGATCCTGACAACAGCTTCCAGGGCCATTGAGACCTAGTTGGCCTGCCCGACTTTATATCAAGATCACTGCTTTACCTCCTAGTTGCATTTTTATCAACCATCTATCTACCACATCAGGTTCAACGGCATATCATCTCGGATACTCTCCCGAAGCCTCCTGCCCTCATTCCCATCTCTTACTCTTCGCAGCAAAGCCAAACTTACTCGACACTCGACTTTTGATTTCATACTCAGCAATTTCAAGATAAAGGAGGCTTAGGTTGCGTTTTGGTGGTTGTAGCAAACTCGGACAAGTATACGCGCAACGATTCGTGCGCCCGCTCCGCGCTACTCGTAGACCTCGAGTTGTCCATTTCTGCCACGGCGCTGTCGACGTACCACTGTGCTCCTCAACTGAGAGGGACGGGTGTAGCTTGCTTTGCCATAGGTAGGCCAGACCCTGTCTATATCGCCAGCACATGCTGTATCTGTGTGGGTATGCTGAGAGAAAGGCCGTTGCCACTGACCACTTAGAAAGTAGAAAAGAGCCGCTTTCTTGGATACACTGGCACTACTATTGCTTCCTACCCTCCAACTCTCCTCTTGTTGCCTCTCCGCACAGGAACATTCCGATCAGTCTTCCCTGCTGCTGTCCTGTGTCCCACCTCGAGGGATCTGCGCCTGGTACTGTACGGATTACACTACTTCGCGCTACCATCATCTGGCAGGGGTTCAGCAACCGTCAACTTCTTTGTCGCATTAAATCTCCTCCTTCCACCACTTGTACTTCTTCCATCACTTGTCGCTGTCACGTATCGTATCAGATAAGCCTCGCCCACCCGCATCCATCATCAACGGCTCCTCGCACTCGAATAATCAAATATCGTCTTTCTTACCGCGCCGCCCATTTCGGAGATACAAAAGTCTCTCGTCGCCACGGCAGACCAGCTTTCCGGGTATCAAACCCACCCTGCTACACTGATCCAACATCGAACGAACTGCCCCTATCTCCGACGTGTCAGGATATTTTGAACATAACAGACCAACTATTTCTTTTCTTACCAAGTAACAACGAACCACGGGACACCTCACAGCACATTACATTGTCATCCGAATCATACCAATTAAACACGACGACAAATGTCGTACCAATCTAGTTGGCACACGGGGCCGGCTCCCGACCCCCAAGAGTATGTCTAAGGCTCAACACCATGATGAATGGAAGAAGTTTGGGTAGAAGCTGACAAGTCTCAGCATAATGAGAGATAGGGACTCCTTGCGTCTGGTGATTGTTCAAGCGCCGCAACACGCCAAAATAGCAACTGGCAAAGAGAAAGGTTCGTCTGCGGCTGACAATGTTACTCGATGTGTACCTAATGTAACTTCACAGATCGTAAACCTATTGACCCTCCACCGATTCTCAAAATCGACCTCAGAAGTCACAATCAGAATTACGCAAACTTCATTCTGTCTAGTAAGCTGCGAAATCATCCTCCCGAGCCCTGTTTGCGACCTAAGCTTGGGGGACGCTAACCGTGCAATAGGCCCTAGCTTGTTCGTCCAAGTCTACCTCAAGCCCGGTGATAAGAAAACCAAAATGGACCCCGAAACCTGTGCGAAAGGCTTGGTGGGATCGACAGTATCCTCCCTGCAGAAGTACAAGAGTATCGATGGCCAGGACGAAGGCTACTTCGTTTTTCCCGACCTCTCTGTCAAGATGGAGGGCTTTTTCAAGCTGAGATTTGCGCTGTACAACATGAAGGGCGGCGAAGTGTATTTCATGACAGAGATGGAATCCCACGGCTTCCAAGTTCATACGGCGCGGTCCTACCCTGGAATGAGTTCCTCAACGGATTTGACCCGTCATCTCAGCGATCAAGGTTGTCGATTGCGGATTCGAAAAGATTCGCAAGTTGTCAAGAATCGCAAACGACAGTTCCAATACGGCATGGACTCTGAGCAAATGCGCAGCGTCCGGCAACGCCAGGGCATGGCTCAACTAGCCCAGCAAGCCCAGCGCTCGAAAGATCTCGCACAACAGCAAGGCTTCTCCCACCAAGGCTCCGCGACGGGAGTTCCAAGTCCGGCATCGTCTTCTCACGGAAGCGCACAAGCATCTGCCGGGACAATAATGCAACAGACGAGTCGGCACCAAGTCCAGGCGGTCAGCTACGCGCATCCACAGCCTTTGATGGCACATTCCATGCCAGGGATAATGGGCATGCAGTTGCCGCATTCGTCAGTGTATCCGCCACCAACGCCATCTTCTGGGCTGTCGGTTGCTTCGCTTC